ACATTTCTTTCGAACGCACACTGCCTCAATAAACGAATTCGGCCAGGATGTCTAGATAGACACGCAAAAACAAGACCTGGAAAGGATCTAGCGGAATCCCAACACCAAAAAGTCTAAACGCTGTAGAACCCAAATGGAAAGGATATCTCGTGACTATCCTAAGCTCAGCAATACATGGCTTCTTGAAGGCTATGCAGACAACATAAACTAATAGGGGCGGGATTCGTCGCAAGCGGCAATGAAACAGAGAAGACCATCAGGGAAATACTACTCTTCAAGCTGGATTGTGCTCCTGATGGACCCCTACACACTATAAATGTCAGATTTGCCCGGGCAACTGCAGGTGTCCCTAGCAACCTCAACGCTAAACCCAAGAACCCTGAGACGTGTTGATCTTCGCTCCGAACAAGTTGGGGCCCAGACTGCTTTTCCTGCCTCTGCAACCGCCGCCTGATCACGCTGAAGGTTTCGGGTAGGCACATCTGGTTTAAGTTGCACGGGCTTGGATCCTAAACCCTTCAAGATTGAGAAGTTTAGGAAGGTTTCGAGGTTGGGACATAGGACTTCAGACTGGCCATTTAGATGCCCGCAAGCAGTGCAGAAAACCAAGTAATCATTTTTCATATGAGGGCTCAGGCTCAGCAAAATTATGGTCCCTTTCTTGATAGCCTGAATATCCGAATACCCTCAACCCTAAACCATAATTCCCCGAACCGTCATATCCTAATACCCTAAGGCCCCGTAGGAAAGAAGAATGCTAGACGCTGACCCCTCCCTGTAACCCTACCTGGAGCTATATGTTCTACCTCCTTGAAGTTGTGTCATACAGCTGATAAGTCCCCAAACCCTAACACCTAAACCGTTGTTAAGGGTATATCGTCCCCCTTAAGTATATAGAATATGTAGTATATGGGGACCTTATTATAATATACCCAAAGCCATATTCTACCTACTTGAGGGGGACTATGTCTCCAAAATGGTAAGGCATCCATGGTCCAGGTAGACCTGGATGTCTTCCCCTGTCCTAGGGTCCCAGCTATGGGGCCCCCTGTAGCAGCCCTTAATTCTAGGGTCCTGAAATACCTTTTATTCATAAATACATATATATATATATATTATCACCCACAAGCCCAATTAAGGGCCCATAATAGGAACAGGTGGGGTCCCATATTTGGGGCCAATGGCTTGGACCTTAAGCCTGGAGTTTCCAAACATCAAGTGTCTATTGTTGCCAGCCCTCGTGCTCAGGATAGGCATAGGCTGGGATCCATATCAGCTTCGGCTTTTGTTTATTACCTGGGCCTTCTGCCGCATTTCTACTCCACGGCCCCTTATCTCGTTCGACGTATGTCTAACCTTGTAGTGTACCGACCTTGCTAAAATCACATTATCTCGTTCGCCATATTGGAATATGTACTGGGCTCTTATTGCAAGGGAAACTGTGGCCTATCTCAATCAATCCATGGCCACTATCTAGTTCCCAGAAGTTTCCCAAAGGAACGCTGAATCCAGCTGCAAAATACCAGCGTGCCTCGCCTTCTACTCTCTTACTTAAATGAGTGAGGCTGATCATATGAGGGTCACGTGTCTATGGGAATCACCCTACACTGCCGCAGGCTTCGGGTAGGATGGCCAGGTACGACAGAATCTAACAGAACCTGCAGTGAATGTCTTTAAAACAAGGGCCTGGAATTACTAAACTCCGATGAGGAACCCTTGCTACTTCTATACATTCTACGTGGACCCCACAACTCGCTCTCAAGAGGACCCTAAATCCCAAGGGGCGGACCTTCAATTCCAAATCACAAAAAAGGCGGGGTCTACTACAATATAAATCTTGAGGTTTCCCTTACAGCACTCTCTGCCACACAGTCTATACTCCGCCCATATCCCAACCCCCCAACCCACCCAAGCCCAGATCCCCGGCGCGCAAACGACTCAAACCCTACATCCCTAAACCCTAAACCCTAAACCCAAAGCCCTAAACCCTGGAACTTCCCTGTAGCACAAGCCCCAAGTTGAAAAAATGTGAGCTTCACACTCCTCTTAAAAGGAAATTCCATTACAGCCCGAATGCCATCATGTTAATCCAGCATCTGTCTCCAACATGAAAAGTTTAGGTCCATTCCCCTAAGGGTCTAAGGACCCAAATAATCTGTTTTTTGGCTTAGGGTTTCGGGTTAATTAAGGGTCCAACGACCCAAATAATGGGGGTTTAGGGCCCAAATACTATAATTCGAGTAGCATTTGGGACCTAAAGCCCTAATATTTGGGCCCTTGGACCCTTATGGCTCTTCTTCTGATGCAAAGCGAAGAGCGGGGACTTCCCGCCCAGGAGTTTTCGTAAGGCCGGCAAACCTGTCAGTGAAGCGAGGCTAGGGTTCAAGGCTTCGATTGGGGTTCTATAAGGGATTATACAGGGTTTAGGGTTTAGGGATCAGGGTTTAGGGTTTAGGGATCAGGGTTTAGGGATCAGGGTTTAGGGTTTAGGGATCAGGGTTTAGGACTCAGGGTTTAGGGTTTAGGGATTAGGGATCAGGGTTTAGGGTTCAGGGATCAGGGTTTAGCGTTTAGGGCTTAAGGTTTAGGGTTTGGGGATCAGGGTTTAAAGTTTCGGGAGTAGGGTTTAGGAATCAGGGTTCAGGGTTGGGGGATCAGGGTTTAAGGTTTCGGGATTAGGGTCTCCCCCCAAATAAGTTCCCTAATAAATCTATTGGTATCCTTGTTTTGGGAGTTGAACTTGCCAAAGAATCATTTTGTCAAATGTACTGATGCGGTGACGGCAAAATTGCCAGTACACCCTGATAGGAGGCCCTCTTTTAGGGAGGTATGGGGTTTGGTACTTCGGATTTGGATAATTGTTGTTGTATAGGCTTGGCTTAGGGTTTAGGATTTGGTTTTGATGTACTTGGACCCCCTGACCCGTTTGAGCTAGCCTTAACTCCCGAAAGCCTGAAACCCTCAAGGGGTTTTAAGTAAGACAAACGGCTCGCAGGCTTCAACGAAATTCACACCGATGTTGAGGCGTTCCTCTTAAAGACAAACCCCAATGACGAATGAAAATCATAATCTCACCCCAAATCCCTCTCCTGATGCCCAAAACCTAAACCCAATGCGGTATACAGTATGCGCAATGCTCAGTACTACGGTGTGGAGGCTTGACAACTATGATTGATAGGGAGGGGCGGACGACCTTGGGAGCATAACTCATGGCACTGAACGTTCGAGAACCGTCAACAGTTGTGTCTAGAGAGCCCTGCTTGGTACTTGAGCTCTTAGCCCTGAAAGGAAGGCCAACACAGACTGCATCATATCTGGAATGCACAGCTTCAGAAGGAGCCAAGTGAGCTATAGTCTAAACTCCTTAAAGGGGTGTTCTATAGGGGATTATATAGGGGACCACTATAGTACTATAGGGGCTATTAAGGGGGATACTAGAAGTTTAGATTATAGCTCAAGTGTACATCAGCAATCTGCCAGGTTGGGCCGCCACCGACACAAATGCTTGCTAATCAGCCCGTTATTGGAGGACATTAGTGTTATAGTTATTAGGGACGTTTAGGAAAAGGCCCTGGTTCAGCGTTCGCAGTGCCAGGATGTCGTTATCATCATAATCTAGGGCATGGCTCTGTGGTTGAGTGTGGCCCCGCGCTTAGGGATTCTGTTTTAGGCTTGAGGTTGACCATTGAAATCATTTACTAGGCAGGGTTGACTACATATAAGAACAGCCTGAAACCACAGAATATTATTGCGCAATAACCCTAAACCCCATATGGTGAATCCATTCTATACTCCATTCTCCCAAGATATTCCCTACAATCCCAATTTCACCTCTACATAACCCCTATATAGTATTGGGGACTACTGTGCTTAGGGGCTCGCCCTTAACCCTAAGCATTGGCCCGGTATTTGCCAGATCCTGGCGGCACCCAATAAGGGTTTAGGGGTGAGGGGTATATGCGGCTTATATAGGGGTGTGTACAGGGGTTATGTAGCGAATCTATTGGGATAATGGAAAATAGAAAGGAAACTAGTATTTAGGGTTTTGGGGCTTTAGGGTTTAGGTTTTAGGAGCTTCGGGTCTAGAAAAGCTGTGCTGACTCCGCAGCTGCGGCTGGCCTCAGAACAATCTTAGACAGCTTAAGTACATTGTTCACAATATAGACGTAGATCAGACACCCTGGGGATATGTTGGGATTATTGGACCTTATGGTGGAGAGTTCCCCCCTTGGCCGCTCAGCACTGAATCCAGGCGCCTCGAATAGATCTAAGGCCCCGGCACTGGTGTCCCAGGGATCGCGGCGGGCGTGCTGGGGACGTTACTGCCTCGCCGGGGCATCTCGGATGAATGCGTTACCCGACATTTTATTTGTCCTCTTTTGCGGTCCAACAAAGTAAAGATGCGGCCTATTGTGTGGTACATACATAAGCCAGAATTCCGCAAGTGGAGTCCTGTTTCCTGACTCCTGCAACGCAAAACAGGAGCATAAACACAAGCACATGAGTACCGTAAACTTGCATTGTTCTGATGACTTCGGCTTATGCTGATGAAGATGGAGGCACGGTGCAAGCTGCCGTCGTTGCCTACCCTTCACGCAATGTATCTTACGAGCTCTTCATGACCTAGCTTGCAATGAAAAGCAGCTTATTAGAGGTTATTATAGAACTCAGCATGCCAGTCGCCACTCCGCAAAGGTCTCAACCAAAAATTGACGACAGGGCTGATGCGCCCGGGGAACTTTACGCGACAAGTCTTGAATGCGTCATAGCTCCATTGTTCCGGCGAAAGGCTTGTAGGGCCAGGGCTGCGGGTATCAAGATTCAGTCTGTTTGGTCCAGGATCCTAGTGGCTAGATGAATTCTGGCAGCCGAGGAGCCCAGGGCCTAGTCCAGATGGCAGAACTGGGGATCGTCATTGAGCGAGTACGAAGCAAGACTGCTGGCTTTTCAACTTTTTGCGCTCCAATGCATGAGGTTGGCAGATGTTGGCAGGTCTAAGCTCACTTGGGGCACACAGGGCAGCATTGGCCGTTCTCGGATGTCGGCATGATCTCCTCCTTCTCGCACATAGTGGGGAAGCACCACACGTAGGGGCAGAAATCGCTCTCGTCTGCCCCAAACTTGCCTGTGGCTCCCACAATTTTAGGCTCAATCTTGATATCGGGGTTGACGCAATATGCACAGCAGTGGCCCTCATACTTCTTTGCGGTGAAGCCCGTTGGGCACCTCGGCCATGCGCCATTTTCACAACAGCTGTTTCTAAGGCTTCTTGTTCACTGTACATACTTCTTGCATACTAGCACTACATGCACCACTGCCATGCAAAGGTAGTCGCTGCTATTGCTCGGCTGTCTTCCTTTTCCTCCCTCTGCTTATCCAAATTCCAATGCCTTTCCTCCGACTAATAACTCCTGTAACCATATATTTTCCACACGGAGGCATATCAATCCTGGAAGACTACTTTGGAAAGGGGCCAATGGTGAGACTCCTAGTCTTGAATTCGGGTGGTCCTAAGGCAGAATGATGCCATTGTAAGATACCGCAAGGAAACATGGATCGCCACCAATACTGAAAAGAGTCTATCTAAAATCCATATTCCAATACGGATTTCCATTGCTTCCTGGGTAACGTTTTACTATTTCCGATGCTTCTTAAAAAGGAGTCTATATAAAGTTAAGGGAATTCACAGAAAAATCGAGCTACGGTTGTCCTGCGTTTCCTAGGTATCTATTATTGCTAAGTTTCTGAGAGGAACTTGCACGACAAGAACGAAAGGAAATCCCATCAAATAATGGAATTCCCTGACTTCCAAGATTGCAAATAAATTGCAACTCTAAATCTTTAAGGTCCGTCGTCCGATGAAGGAACCATAGGGGGGTTCAAAAATTGAACTAGGGACCTCCTTTACTGAATCACCCTTTATTAATTAAAATTACTCAGTATGGGTTTCGCTTTATGATTGGCGGGGGTTAGCGGCTTTCTTTTGATCACAATGCTGCCTTTGTTGATCCAGTCTAGCTTGGGCACTTGAGCTCTCCACACACGACATCCTCACAGGCATCAACGAAGTTCTCCGTGGCCTCATCAATGCAGTATGGTAGCTTCCATCTTGCTTCCCATTATCCCTATATACTTGTATGTCGTCAGCCCTAGCAATCCCGACATAATCTCAATGTCAAAGGAGTAATCCGTGGCCTTCACCTGCACCAACATCTTGGTCTGCCTGTCCTGAGGCAATGCTCACGCTACTGTATTGCCTCTGACATCATGAATGCTAAGCCCTAAGCCCCAAGGGTTTAGGCTAGCGAAAAACAACAAAAAGCAAGTCCGGCTTCAGCCTTCATGCGGGGGCTCGGAGAAGTAGCTACGGAACATTAAGGATTACCCCTCAAAGCTGTTCACTGTCGCGGGAATCACCTAAGATACAAACTGGAGATCCCTATTGCCAGGACCCCCCCAAAATGGGCCCGGAAGCCCCAAGACCCAAGACTCTGGTATCAGTTTGAGGAAACCTCAAAACCCTAAACCATCCTAAACCCTAATCCCCAAACCCTACTATATAACCCCCATATCCCCTTAAAGGGTACCCCTGATTAATGACCCAGGGTCCTGGTCCATGCCGAGTACTGCCTTGCCCCCTAAGAGGCTGTCCGGGAACGAGGGCTCTTCGAGATCGTCCGGTTGGCTTGATCCTGGCACACGCATTTGGGTGGTTGTCAAAATTATGGTCCCTTTCTGGGCACCCTAAGTAAAAGGTGCCGTATTATACTAGGGATCCAAAAAAGACCAAATTTTGACAACCACCCATATAAAGAATCAGGTTGTTCAATTGCCGCTGCAGGAAAAGGCAAACATGGCAGTCATGCACGATACAAAATGAGCGACCAACCAAGGCAGTTACAGAAAATGGAAAAAAGTCGAACAGCAGTGCTGTAGCTTCAGTGGTCCTCGGATATGGGCCGCCTGGCCCACAGTCACCAGCACGAAAGCTACCGAGATCCAAGCGCGACCCATGGCGAAGGACAATGCCGAGGCTACAGTTTAGGCTGGAAGTGGGGCTGCTATGCCTGAGCCACTTAAGGGTTTTAGGGTTTTCATGGGTTCCAGTAGTACCCCCCTCTATACTTCCCCCCCCCTCCCTCAGGGTCACCCCTTAATTAAGGTTATTTAAGGATAATTAGGCCTAATCAAAGTTAATCAAGGGGGGAACCTAGGGGGGGTAGTATAGAGGGGGGTACTACTGGAACCCATTGCATTTGGGCAGGGTATTCAATGCATCATCAGATGTTATTGGTATTTTATATCATCCCCGGGAGGCGTTTGCAAGGCCATCTGGGATACATCATAGCACAACTTCATGCTTTTTCTACGGGCCATATAGGAGCAATTAGCAGTTGTGCCAGCTCTTACAGCACTTGAGTCCCAGAGCCTTCCCAGGAAGTCTGCAACTTCTTGGTTCTGTCTGAAACATCCGCGTTCAGGTGCCTCAGAATTACGGCTCTGTCGTAATAGGCCTCAACATGGGTAACCGCATTGGGCGACGCAAGGGGCCTACGCCACGTCATATATACATATAATATAAGTATAAATACAAATATAAATATGAATATAACTATAAGCAAATATATATATATGGCGAAGTCACAAGGTAAACATCACATGTCTTGCGCGAATTCAAACCCGAAGCCACGAGCTCCGGCCTTCAGTCAGAATCCGAGCTACTCCGGCAGGAAGGTCCTGGCTTCATTGCAGTGTTTCGCAAAGAAGGAGGACTTGCTGGGGCGCAGCACGCTGATGCTCTCCTTCAGACGAGGGCTAGAGGGGTGCCTCTTGCGGATTCAAAGGGAAGTGGGAATTTTGAGAACATCCAACGAATCCTAAACCCTAAGCCCTGAAACAGCCCGATGAAAGGGATTGCATTGCGGTGAGGGACCCTAAGCCCTAAGCCCTAAACCCAATATAACCCCATTATAGTAGCTTCCATTTTCTTTTCCATTATCCTATATATCACCAATGGAATTCCTATAATCCCCTATATTACCCCTAAACCCTAAGCCCCCAACCCCGAGAAGCGGCGATCTGAGCACAAGGGGGCCTGAGGAGCCAGGCCATTCGGGATCACGCAAGGATCTATCAAATAGGGCTTTCCCATAATTAGGGGTACCTTTTGGGGGGACCCAATGATAAGGATTGTAATATTTCGGGGTCCATATTTGGGTCTCCCTATGGTGGGCAACAAATAGATCAAATAGGGTCGCAAGGCCTTCTGGGGTCCTTCAAGCCTCAGAAGCCGGCTCTAGGACTGAGCTTAAATCCTAAATCTCGAAACCTTAAACCCTAAACCTGAAAACCTAAACCTTCAACCCCTAAACCCTAAACCGTAAGGCCCTAGGCCAGTGCTCTGATTAGGGATGGGGTTCCAGGAAGCAAGTGCAACTTCAGGGTTTCACTGGGTTGCTGTTAAGGAACATAAAGCTAGGTTACTGTGATAAGGAAAACCTATTTGTTACTATGTGTCACATTATATGTCCATGATATGGTAACTTAATTTGGTTTAGGGTTTATAGGGTTTAAGTTCCTCAACAGCAATCCAGTTGATAGAGATGTAGTGGTTCCTCGCTGGTGCTTAGTGGGGAATGTGGGCAGTGGTGCTACAGGGATTGTTGCTTACAATGTTGACACCCCAAGGGCCAACACGGACTGTCATTTTTGAGGAATACCCATGTACGTGAAGATTTTGGGTTAAGAGCGTAAGAGAGCGAACAACCGGCTTAATTGCGCATATGGCACCTTATAGTGTCATCCTGGCTTTGGGATTCACCAAAGAGGATCCTCAAATGTATCCCTATACAACCTCCACATATAACCTTATGCAAGTCTTTAAGCACGTACAAGGGATCCTATGTTATGGAAACCCTAAAAACCAAATTACATATCCAGATATATCCCGATATGTCCGCATAGTATACATCACCTCTTCAGGCCCGTTAAATGGATGCCCTAACTTCCCCCAGGCCCCATTCAGCCCTATATACTAGCACCCACCTGACAAATCTCCTTGACTCAATTACAAGGGATACTCCCGAAAGGGCGCCAATTTTAGGAACCCACCCGCACTCCCATAGCGGTGTTCAAGGACCTTGCAGCAGCACAGTAGGAAGTGGCAGAATTTGATCGTTGATATCAAGCACCCCCTGCCCCTCATTAAACATTTTCACCTAACATGCAGTCCCCTTTAGTGACATGTTAACAGTAGGAGCGGAGGGTCTTTAACATCAGGCGGAAGGGAATGATTTTGATATTAATCTGGTCCTCGGAAAAAATCTGAGGATTTTGCCGCTTGCATAGCCATAAAGCAGCGCAAGGGTAGCAATCTAGCAACTCAGGTAACTCTGCATCATCCATGACTCACTTCCCGCCCGAAACAACGGGCTCAGTATCTCTTGAAAAGTGGGTAGACCTGGTTGCTATGAGGAGCTATTTACGGTTTAGGATGCCTTTAGGTGCTTGAACCAACTGCAATTCCAGTTTTGTACAAGCAGTACAAGTAGAAGGCTGTAAGTCTATTAGGAGCTGTCATGTGCCTATGTGGAATGCGTCAGGTTTCTGACTGCTTCATAAGCTCCCGGAAACCCGAATAGGGTTACTCTCCCATATGTAATCATGCTCAGCTGGCGTTGTTTGTATGGCCCACACGACTGAACCCTCAACCATAAACCCTTGCGGGCTCTTGTATACAAACCTCAATCTTGCCATCCTGTCGTAAGGAACCCAGACCTTGCGTGAGCACTTGTTCATGCTTTTGGGGTCTAAACCCTAAACCCAATGCTTTGAATAAACCTGGGGTGCCCCAGGAGATCTCATGGACCCAGAGGGAACTTCTGATGGTTTGCCGCTTGACGCTTGCATGGCCATACAGCATCGCAAGGTCTTCTGATGGTTTAGGGTTTAGGCTTTAAGGGCTTTAAGGTTTAGGCTTTGAGGGCTTCAGGGTTTAGGCCTTAAGGGCTTTAGGGTTTAGGCTTCAACGGCTTTAGGGTTTAGGGTTGAGGATCTCAATCCCATCCCTGCCCAGGGCAGAATCCACAAATGTGAACCATCAGACAGGGGAGCCTCCTTTGGTGGCTCATCAGGCGGGTTGGATCCAGGCTCCTCAGGTCTGCAAAAGCTCAGGGGGTGGGAGGGATGCACAAAAACAGCTGAGGGTGGAGGGAACTTGGAAAGATCCCTAAACCCTAAACCCTAATCTCTCTTGAAAACTCCTGGGGGCCCAAAGATATTTGCTTATTGTATGGCAATTTCTATAAATACGGACACCCCAGTATAGACCCTATATATGAATTGTTGATCCCGGCGGCTAGTGAGGGGGCCTTACTTGTGGGAAGCTTTTGCCGAAACCATTCAAACCCCCCTAATTCGTGTGGGGCCCTTAATTGTGCGAAGTTGCGCGGCCTAGGTGGCTCTGAAAGTAATTCGGTAGACTAAAGACAATTTTGTTTTCCTAATCCACGCTGCTCTTACTAGAAAGTTGCATTTAGAATGCTTGCCTCAAGGATCTTAGGCTTCAAGATTTCAGGTTGCAGGCCAGGTCCACAACTATGGATCTTTTATTGAATCGCCTATGCGAGGAGGCCACTTTTTTGCATGCGGGTAAGTCCAGCAGCTGCTTGGGTCCTCAATAGTACGAATGTTTTGGGGTGCCTCAATTATCCGAAATTTTCCGGCGCCCTAGGTATCCAGCAAGAAAAAAACCCATTCCTTTGAAAGTTAATTCAATCCTAAACCCTAAACCCTAAACAGGCTACTGAGCTCCACAGTGCCCCTCAAACAGATTCCGAGCTCAGGACACCCTCCTCCTATTGAATTGATATTAGGGTTATATTGGGTTATATTAGGGTTACATTGGGGCTACATTGGGGTTACATTGGGGTTTCCAAAATTAGGGGTACCATTTTGGGGTGAATTGAATTCAAAACAGAGTCTGAGCTCCGGAAACCCTCCTCCTATTAGATTCCGCTAGGATCTAGATTCGTTTGGGGGTACGCCTCCACCATCATATGAGCTACCGTCTAAACTCCTAGTCCCTTAAAAACCCCTATAGTAGTCCCCTGTATAATCCCGTATATATCCCCCTTTAAGGAGTTTAGACTATGGCTCATATGGATGAGGGACCCTTTTTGTTGAGGGGGGGGGGATCTCCTACACTTCTCAGGACACCACATTACAACCCGTAGTATGGGAACCTTCAAGAAGGTACCCCTTGTTTTGGGCATCCCATGTATAGTTTTCGGTCAGCCTTCCACCCTAAACCCGAAACACGCGAGACTCCTAACCGTGCACTATCCCCCAAGCAGATGTCTGAGAGAACTCCCAGCTCTGACTCAGTCACATATACAAAAATCATTGGATTTATGACTCTTTTTCTCGGTTGTTCTACTACCCACCACATGAAGGAATTCAACTACAAGTAAGAAGAAGTGGGGCAATGTACTGTTAGCGAAGCCATGATAGCCCTCCCCCCACTAGGAGAATTGGAGCGCTAATCAGGATCCACTGAACATCCCTCTGCTTGCGGATGATATAGTCACCCTTAAGTAGATAGAATATGGCTTCGGGTATTTTATAGTAAGATCCCCATATACCCCATATTCTATCCCCCATATTCTATCCACTTAAGG